ACTACCATCTCCCCGCTTACGTGATGGAACGCTGCCACTGAGATCTTGTCTTCATATTTTTGTATTTCTCAGGAGCTCCTCATCTAAACACACACTTCATACCAGATACATTTTTCATGATCAAAATGCCTCTGTGTCCCTTTTGGACAAGCTGCAACATGCTGTCGAAACAATGCCAGTCAAGATGATGACAGTGGAAGATTAGCGTCCCATCTGAGGCTGCAGGAGGGAGAAAACAGGAAGCGATAAGGTTTCGAACTGAACTCAAATGTGTCACACATCTTGTGTCATCTTGTCTCCATCTCCATCTCCATCAACCACTAGGGCCTGTGAAGTCCTGTAAGTTCTCTTTGCACCCTGTGGCTTATTTGCTCGCTGTACACAGTCACTGCAGCCAGCACCCTTACCCCTGACAGTCAGAGAACATGATGTGTGCAGAGCTTTACAACGCAACATCTGCATTCCTTCTATCCTCAGGCCCCATCTGACAGCAGCTCAGGGCCGAAAACAACACGGCAGACAAACCACTGCTGTCACTTCCAATAGAAAATAATGTTGGAAAAATCTGTCCTGCATTCCACAAGCATTTGGCATCCAGTAGTTTTCAATGTCAAGGCATACAGAAAAATGCTCACCGAGGTCAGCAGAGCACTGATGGATGAGCAAAGTGTGTCACTGTGTCTTACATTCAGTTCTCTTGCCAACACGATTCTGCCTGTATGAAACTCCACACCAGATGATTTGCATGTGTATCCTAAACTGGACCCCAAATGTATCCACTGCAAATAAGTGTGTTTATGACATTTGTGTTTGTCCAGTTTCAAAATGATTTTGCATCTTCACTATTGGTTTAAGAGCTCCCTCTATTGGAAAAATCAAGAAACTGTAAAGCCCAACATTAATTACAGACTTAACTCTGAGCATTCAATACTTGACTGTACATCACAGTTGTGAAATATATTACAAGAATTTTAATTACATTGTTAAAACAGGACTGTGTGATCAACATTCTGCTCTTAATTTTGTGCTGTTGGACTCTGTAGCTCTGCTCTGCTGAGAAAAACACTGGCTACAGTTTGCTCATAAAACTAAAACCAGCAGATCTTTATTCACTGCCTCGATGTTAAAGAGATGCAGTATGTTAGTTTCACCTCAATGATCAGGAGCTCAAGCCTTGTGGTTTAAACTTGGGTGCAGCCAGTAAATTGTTTAGCTGAGGAGGTAAGCCACCCATATCCAGGTGTGCCATGATCAGTTTAGTTAGTAGACAGCCTAAACAATAGAGCTTTTTCACAAAAGACATTTTGACTTGCCATAACAGGAAAAGCAAAGGTGTAACCTGGGTGTAACTATTAACATTAACAACAGCTCTTTTCCTGGTTTGACAAGTTAAAATGTCAATTGAAGCCACACTAAATGTAACGGCGTTGGCTGTGTGAAATAGAGCCATGTTTTTCTGTTCACATCGAGGTTTATATTGTGTTGATCGTTTTTTTTTTTTATATTAGTGGAGGTGATCTTTGTTTGAGGCTCAACTCAGCTATAAAAGATAGCTTCTACTTTGTCTACATTGAATTTATGATATCCAATGAACGAATACCTTTAAGTTGGTTGAGCAATGTCGTACAAACATGCATTGTATTGAATGTACAAGGCAGTTCATAGTTATCAGATGAACTAACTTCACAATTGGTCACACTTTTACTAGATAAAATAGCCCAAATCATACTAACTAGCATGCTAAACCCTTCAATTCACCCTTGAATTCCACTTAAACTTTAAAAATGTTTAATAACGATCCAAACTTTTTGATCCTATCCTCTGTTTCCAGTAACACATCACAGAAGCATTATGCAACACTGAGTGAAATACTGAAATCCAAGACACCATGTTTTTATAACCTACATTATTTAATCAAATGTAGACCTACATCTTCACTATATTTTAAAATGCAGCTCTGTGTGTTTGAACAGTGGCCTCATAACAAGTTTGTAAAGACAGACTGTCTAAAGGGGTTAAAAAACAACCAAAATACTCTTCAGTTTGTTTGCTAAAACTTAGGCTAACACAACAGCCCTGCAATAAATATTTTAATTTTCCTTGCATTTTTAAAACGGCTTTTGTGTTTCTGTTTAGTTGTATTTTGTTATACCAAGAGGTGTTTTTAATATTATATCAGAAATATATGTGGTGTAGCCCTGCGATGGACTGTCGACCTGTCCACTTTGTCCGATGCCAGCTGGGATTGGCTCCAGCCCCCCGCGACCCTGTACGCAGCATAAGCGGTTGACGTTGGATGGATTGATGGATATGTGGTGTAGCTGCCTACTGCATTGAGCCATTAGATGCGTTTCGCGTTTATGCCACAAGATGTCGCCACAGAGTCGGAGCGCCGCTGTCTTGTGATTGATAGGACTACAGATACATGGGTCAATCCTCATAATCGGCTCCAAGCAACACCACGATTACTGAAGAAAGTAGTTAGAGACAAGAGTAGGATACAGTGCGAGGCGGAGAACAGGTTGCATCACTTTCTATGTTATGGAGCCGTTTGTCAGCCCATAAATATTGTGTTAATGACCAGTTCAGCTCATAAAATCTACACATGCATCCTCCCCTAAACTCTGTGTGTGTGTGTGTGTGTGTGTGTGTGTGTGTGTGTGTGTGTGTGTGTGTGTGTTTCAGATGTGTGTTTGGCACAGCACCTCTCCGTTGTCTGACTTTGTTTCATGCAGTTATGATTCATGATACCTTAAATTACACGTTATATTATTGTCCACCGCACTGCCAAGATTTTAAGGGAATCAAGATGAGCGAGGGGGGGCATTGTGTGAAAACAACCTCAGCTCTTTGAAGCTGTTTCAGAGTCTCCCAATGGAAAGCACGCTGCGTTTTCCATCACTCTTTATATCATGCGAACGGCTTCACGTTTTTTTTTCTCACACTGAGATAAGAAAACATTTCCACTGAAGTAGCCCATAACAGCTTCATTTAACCCCTGTTTCTGACCTGCGCGGATGGAGGTTCATTTATCCAGAATGATCCAGTGAGATCCCCCAGGCCTGTTTAGTTCCTGCCAAATGATGTTATTACACCAAGTCCTTGGTGGCTGCTCACTCTCCCACATATTCATCTGCGATACAAAACAAATACGATCTCTACAATGGCCGTTTTTGTTAGATAGCAGATTTGTTATTGTTAAAATGTGTGCGTAATGTGTCTTCTGGGTAAAAAAAAAAAAAAGACCTTATTGTTTCCATATTTGGCCATTTTTTTAACGAAACGAAGAAAAACACCTTAGACTGAGCCCCACATTTAATGTTGCGTAGCTTTTATGATGGGGGTTCTTACAAAATTACCAGGAATAAAAATTGGACATATTCGACACCAGCTGCGTGTGTGCGGTGCCCTGACGGCTCTAAACGTCTTGTCCACCATAGGCCCCTGAGCTGTTTGTCCCCTGAAATGACTCCAACGCGTGCCTTTCTAAGTCTTGGTGTCAGATGATCTTGGGAAACGTTCAGCCTTTAGTGCCATACCTTCAGCTTTTGTAGTGATTTGACGCTCCTGCTTTGGCCTTATTGAAACCACACAACGCGCACGGGCCTGTTTCCAATCTGAAGACATGCGTGATGAATTTGGGAAATCATCTGCAGCTTTGCTGGTACCGTATAGCCCACCCAGTCCGGACCCAGTCCCCCTGTGCCCCGGGGTATCAATACGATTAGAGGCAGGAAATGTGGGAATCCCCAACAAAGGGCTCCATCATTAAACACAAACAACCAGAGGCCTCCCAACAATACCAAAAGCGCCCTCCTCTCCTGACTTCTCTTTTATCTCCAAGCAAGTGAAAATCTATTACTTTCATCCCAATATTACCATTCTGCTTTCAGTTGCCCATTATTAAAGAAGATAATCTTACGGGACTTTGATAGGTTTGCGCTCAAATGGAGAACAGAGAGTGTTGGGTTTCTGACGCAGAAACCTCGGGTTATACAGACTGCACATCAAATATTATTTCTTCTCCACTTCACACATGGCCATATATCAGTGTTTCTCTTTGTCCGTGCGCAACTTCTGTACGTTTAGGAAAAAGTCACACAGTCTTATCGGTTTAATCAAAGAAGTGCTCATGCAGACAACAAATTATTATTTTCGAAGCAGCACAAAATCCACTGTACCTCTGAAAACATGTAATTGTATGAGCGTGTGCGTAAAGAGCGGCTGCAGAAGCCTTCGAGGGGGATTAAAGCTTAAGTCCCTGCCTCACGTAGAGAAGTGTTTGGGGATTTTCCCCCTCAGTCTTTACATTCAGGATGGTGATCTGATGTCCCCAAAGTGTCTCTCAGCTTATTCGGAATTAAAATATGTTTTTTATAGTCCTTATTATCGCTGTCCATCACAGCCGCACATTTAGACGACAGCCTTCTCTGCTGCTTTAGACAGGTTTCCTCTCTTTGTTTTAAGGTTGATAAAATGAAAAAAAAAACAACATCTTACTTTTAATCAATCTGCTTTTGGGGACGAAGAACATCAAACATGTAATCATTTTTGTAAAATACTTTAAACTTGTAATTCAGGAGCAGCCTACACAATATGAAATAATACAATTTTGTCATGTGTCTACTGCAGGTTAGGAAGCAACATCTCGCCCTCTGTCTTCGTTTTATTCATAGGCTATTTATCGTCACAATAAAAAAGTTTTTACGCGACTTTGTCTTTAACATCCTGAATTTAAAAAAAATACATTCCTCACTAAAAATAGCCTTCTTTCGATTTCCTGCTCACGAGGATGTTTTCACTGAATAGATCTCTGATGTCCGCGTCGACCTGGCACCGATGTGATGATGATGAGAGTGCACTGGGAGGCTGGTATAGGCCTTCTTGGTACCCTTTGCGTCGTTTTCATTGGTCAGGATCCTCTTCCTCGAGCCTCAACGTGACATCACATCCACCCAACCCACAGGAAAGCAACAGAGATTACAGATGATGCTGGACATCTCAGAGGACGCACACACGCCTTTACGCACAATCGCTCGTTGACCGCTCTTTTGCGCGTCCAGGCACCAAAATAAAGGATATCTGCGCGGATGCGTTGCGGTTTGGAGAGTCTGATTCTTGAAAAGTAGGGGGGAGGATTGTGCTCGGATTTTCACTTTCTTTGTGAATGGAGATTCGTGCGTAAAATTCTGTTCAAAGCATTTAAGAGAAGAGCTGTCGCTCTCCCACCTGTTGGCAGGTGGTGTTGGCTTCACCCGCGGACATCTACTATGACATTGGGTTTGGAAATAATGGAGGATATTGTTATCGACGTAGTAGGAGAAGGGCTCATAGGCAGCGGAGAGGAGCAACTCTTACCTTTGGATGAGTCGCGGAGCGAGCAGGACCGCAGCACGGAGACTCCCAGCAGCCAGAGTAAAGAGCAGGACTCCGACAGCCCTGCACCGGCGTGCCCTTCTCCTGGTAAACCCAAAGGTCCCACGTCGGTGAAGCCTCCATACTCTTACATTGCTCTGATAACGATGGCCATACTGCAGAGTCCAAAAAAGCGGCTCACCCTCAGCGAGATCTGTGACTTCATCAGCCACCGATTCCCTTATTACCGGGAGAAATTCCCCGCCTGGCAGAACTCGATCAGACACAATCTGTCGCTTAATGACTGCTTTGTAAAGATGCCCAGAGAACCCGGGAACCCCGGGAAGGGCAACTACTGGACGCTGGATCCCAACTCCTCGGACATGTTTGAGAACGGGAGTTTTCTGCGGAGGAGGAAACGCTTCAAGCGGCAGCATTTTCGCTTCGACCCACTCAAGGAGCAGCACCTGGAGCCCAGCGGACTGCACGGCTTCCCCCACGGCGCCTACGGATTCGGCACGGCGGCTCTGCAGCTGCCCGGTCTGGAGATTTACCCCTACCTCCATCACCATGCGCCATCTCCGTGCGGGCCCGCCACCATCCCACCTGTCAGCAGCATCCTGCCGGCTCTCTCCAGCTTCTTCTCCCGCAGCGCCCTCACAGCCAAGGCTTTCCTCCAGTCACAGCCCGGCATCGACGCCTTCTCCCCGGCCCAACGCACCGCTGCTTACTCTTCTCCTCTGACCTCCAGCGTTGCCTACGCGTCCCCTGCTCTCTTCCACCCCGCGGGGTCTCCGCACTTCCTCAGTTTACACCAGGAGTATCAGAAATTACAGACTCAGCGTGGCGCCGTGGACCTGGCCAAACACATCCACGCTGCTAACAATGAATAACCAGTCAACCGGACTCTGAACTCGTGTTTTCTCAGGTAACAGAGACGTTTTAAGCAGAAGCTCACAAATTCTCCAGCGTTGAAAATGTGCTGAATCTGCTTTCAAAGAATGTTGTAGATATGTTTAAAAACTTTCCCTCCTTCTCACGTTTATGGCAAAAAAAAACCTTTAGCAGATGCTTTTTAAAATTTTGATCATGAATTATCATCTTTATTTTAGAAATATTTAAATGACGAGTTTCCTATATTTTTTTTTCTGGAAAGAAATAAAAGTGAATATTTAAACCTTGCGTTCAGTTGTATTTTGTACAGATCCATGTGGTTATATGAAGCTATTTATTCAGTTTATGGATGATCTTTGAGTTTAAATCTACAGACACTCTTTGTTTTTATAGGCCTATGCCATGTGTCAAATTGCTTTTAACTCCAATTTCTGGGGGTTGACTATTTGTCTGATTTCGACCAAATATATGCATGAAGACCTAACATTAATTCGTAATGATGACAACAAAACAAAATGACCGTTATTCAGAGGTTAAAATGTGTTGGACTGGCTCCCAAACAAGGAGCAACAGCCAAAGAAATACAATGAAAAACAATGTTGAAGAATAATTTGATGACAGAAAAAGGCTAATCTCTTGAGCCCAATAGCCCGAATGATTGTAAACACGTGCTCCACTTCTGCGTAAAATAATTGATCAAATACAATAAAAACAAAGATTACACTTACTCGCTATTTATTCTTATATTTTTGGTCCATGCAATGATTTGAGTATATATCAATGACTGAGACGGTTAGCCTATTAAATTTATCGAAACAGTAAAACAAAAATGCAAAAAGGCTTCTCAAGTATTTCATGCTTTTAAAATGACAGGAAAAGCGACATTATGCACCACGTTGGAGAAGTGTTAGACCCCGGTGTCAAGGTCAATGTCACTGACGCTTATATTAACGCACGGGCCCCATCAGGTGCGTGTGTCTGTATGTCTGTTCATGGATATAATGCTGGAAATATAAATGCCTATAATTGCCTTATTTCGTAGGGCCACACACACACACACACACACACACACACACACACACACACACACACACACACACACTCACACACACAAGCTCTTGTTCCCGCGAGAAAATCTGTATAACACATTTTCATGTCAAATAAATTCTCTTCTGTTCAATCATAAAGCAGCTTTCTGCTCATTTAGCTCCCAAATGTTCCCACAAAGGAGCCTTTTTAATCCTATATCACCTGTTAGTAGAATAGTAATAATAATTATTATTGTTATTGTTAGTCGTAGTTGTAGTAGTACTGATTAAGTTAAGTCAAAAATATGTTGATGATTTTTTCCATTTTTTAATTTTGTTTTGTGGTTTTATTATGAATTTAAAAAATATCCTAAAGGGGTTGGGGTTAGCGGTTTGAGCAATACATTATGATTTTTAAAGCAGTAACTATTTAATTTAAATAATATAATACTAGCTGAAAGAGGTTTTATGTTATATTGTGAACTGAATGCATTACGTTTTTTTCAACAATTAATCCAGTAGTTCAATTGATAATTTAAAAAATGTGTATTTGTTGTTTAGAAATTGTCAGTGCTTGCTGGGAGTGACATTTTACAGAGGAATCCAAACAGTCTGACTTATAATATATGGTTTTAAAAACTTATGGTTATCTTGTCTCCATTTATTTATTTATTACTCACAGCATGGTTAAATCAAACCTTAATCCATAACCTAAACCTAAAATAAATAAGCTCATAATTTCTGTTGAAGCAGACGTTGGGTGATTTTGACCTGGAGAGAGACACGCAGCGTAAATCAGTAAATATATACAGTATGTGATTACTAAACTTGTCCCTAAACTTTCCGTCCATTTCTCCTTGCCACTAATTCAGATCATCTGATTTATTTTTCCTTTCTTTTTTCATTTAGGTTGACGCGGCGCTGCTTCACAGTGAGAGTGACAGTAGTAAAATAATTCTAGGTTTCAGAGCATGGAAGTATTTATTTAATTCTATTCTGAGTCTGGTTTAGATGGATCACCGTGCTGAAGCTCTTGGACGGGGCTGATGGATCACACCACACGCTTAGTCCTTTAGCAGACTTTGGCACCCAGTGAGGGCCTGAAACAAATAAAAAGATTGTTACCTGATGGTGAGCTGCTCAGCTGCCCACTCCTGAAAGAAGTGCACACTTTCTCATTGATTCTCTTTCCCCCTTTTTTCTTTGCTCCATTCAGAAAACTTTACAGATGCACCCACTTTTGATACTTTTAGATTTAATTCGATCTGTCTTGAGGTTTTCTCTTTTTTTTGTCATAACCAAATGTCTAATATTTGTACTGCTAATCTTAAACAGTGCAGCAAGAGCTGTGGTTAAACTGATCCGACGTGAGATTCATATCACACACCGCAGCCCTTTTGCTATTAGAACTTATCTGATTAGAAGGCCAAATATACAGCTGAACATATACTTTTATTTCTTTCAGTGTCAGTGCTTTGCTTGTGGGGATCTAGATTGTCACAACTAAATATGACGATGCAGTACGAAGAGGTTGTGAGTCATGAAAAGTGGGAACAGCAGAAAGCCTTGTGTGATCTGTACAGCAGGCAGTAAGTCATCAAGCCCCTTTTGCACAGTCACACATGTTTAATATGGCTGGACATCATGGTCAGATATGAGTGAGACACAACAATGTTAACAATCCTCAAAAGGCACCAGAAGATCTGAAGCAGACAAAGAGTCGCAGAGACTGATTGGCAGACAGGGAGGGGCGAGTCAGGGTCAATTTTTTAGGGAGGGGGGGGTGCCTTTGCACCTGATAAAATAAGCAAGTCAGGCACCCCAGGCTGTTGTGTGTGTGTGTGTGTGTGTGTGACTATACATCAGTTTTCCATCCTGAAGGAGGTAAAGGTTGCTAGTGCAGTGCTTTAAGTCCTTTTATTTTAATTTTTCCTTTGAGTGTGACAAACTTTATTAAATCCTCACTTGTGTTAGAAGCTCCTTTTTAAAAGATTAGCAGCGAGATGTTCCTGTTTTCAACCACACTTTACCTCCCCTATTTATCTTTTGTGGGTTGCCTCCAACTTAACTTTTAATGTAATCTGCAAAGTCACTCAGAACGTGACAGAAGGGGATTGTGTTTTAAATTGAATATGTCACCGCAGAGACCTGTATTCAGTGTCATATTAAGGCAATTCATCACATGAGTGGACATGACGGATGGACATTTATGTGACGAGCTGTCAGTGGTGCGTGCCATGTTTCTGCTCAGTTCCACGTGGATTATCAGGTCAGAGTTATCACAAGTCATAACTTCCCCTCTGATGTGGAGGTCATTTCTCTGGGAAAAAGTGAGTCGATTTAGTCAGAGCTCCACTCATGCCTAACAGCGCCGCCGTACCATGCTTCCATTCTCCACTTGCAAATGCCAAGCCAAACAGGCAAGATAAACTCACTGGCAAGGCACCCTGCCTCGCTGCCTTCACTCCTTCTGCTTCCACAGCAAAGATTCTAGGTCCAAGCAGGGAGAGCGTTGCATTCTGGGATAACCCCTGCAAGTCCATTCAGGACAGGAAAAACAATGCGTCTGTGTTGTTGCAGAGAGTTTGAAATGCATAATTTGGAATAAATTCCCTTCAAATATTTTTCCTGTCTGATAGCCTGCTGCGTTTTGGGGCTGCCTACACATTAAAAGTCTCTGGGTCAGTATTGCTCAGTATTACTGTGTACGCTTGTGTAGTGTAACCCATGTGTACTGTGTCAACTTTACACAAAGAAAACCCAAAACACTGGGTTGACCCAGTGTTGGTGTTATTTTTAAATTACTGTTGTGTAATTGGATCAAAATAATCCTTTCTACAAATGGTGCAATTTTTAACACATTTTGGATCAATAAAGCACCAGTGTTGCATGTCCTTATAATATACAGTGTATCACTGTTGGGTCATTTACCCAAACTAAAATAGGGTATGGTTACAAAATGCTAAAATCTACTCTAGGACTTTTTAAACATCACTATTTGTGATTGTTAAAAATGTGTGCGTGTCCTTTGCAGTTTTGAACGTCACATGCTGATCATTTTGTACAACTAACAATACATTTGTTACCTTTTTAAGATAAAACTTGAACATGTTGTGTTTAACACTGGGTCAAAATAACACTAATAAGAGTAATAAATAAGACAACATGCATTGTGTAAAGTTAACCGTGTATTGTTTTAAACCAGTGATTTTTAGCATGGAACGCTTTATCTGTGTTTGCTTTAGCATTTCAAGAGGGTGATTTGTGCAGCACTAGAATCAGACTTTGGTGAATATAAAGGCTTTACGTGTTGTGGTTTTTCAGCTATCATTAGTAAATCTCACACCTTTCTGCTGAGGCACATCACAGCTGAGGTTTTCTCTCCTCTCACTTTAATGGCCGACTTCCACAAGCCTCACTCGCTCTTTGGCGTTTGCTTTTCCTGGCAGGGCCAATCCCCGCTGCCCTGCTTCGGGGAGTTATTCAATTATAAATCTTCCACCCTTCTTTTGCTGCCCCCCCCTCCTCTCCCCTACTCTATCTCTCTGTTTTCCCTCTCTCACCGGTTTATGTGTTACCCTGCCAAGCCCAGTAAAACACGCTGCTCCGTTGGTGCACCCCTCTCCGGTCTCGTGCCCAAGAATTTATTATGCACAGGGTGGTGAAGCGGAGTGCGGTGTGTTTTTGGAAAAGGGACCCCCCCTCAAGCCTCAGTGCCAACAGATGACAGTGACATATAGCAGGAAAGCCACCCAGAAGGAGAATGATCTCACACCTCAGCCACGCGCTCAGACGGAGTGGGAGAAACTGGAGAGAGAGGAGAGATCTGCAGCTGGGGGCAGAGGGGACGATAAAATCAAGATGAAAGGAGACCAGGATTGAGAAATGAAAAGGTCGAAAGGAAAAAACAAACACCAGCAACTATAAGCAAACAGTAAAAAGCAAGTAGATGATTTGATGATGCTGCAGGAGAAGTGAACCAAAAATATGCCTACATGACTTCTTCAAATACTTTAGGTTACTTTGCTAAACTTGAACATTGTGTTCTAATAATTTCCAAATAAACCAAACTATGTTAAACCTCTTAGATAGCTATTCCATTCTTACCCTCAGACCGTGGCTTGTTTCTGCCAACCAAGCTCTGGAGGAAATGCACTGCTCAATTAGGCATCTTTAGAAAATCCGCAGATGCGTTCGAGA